AGCCCCAGCCATGCCACTTAACACTCAATCACTGTGGCATCTCAGCAGCATGTCTCGGTTTCCAGACGGTGATGCTGGGCACTGATGAGAGTCAGAGCTGTTGGTTTCAGGTTTCTCAGCTGTGTTATCTAAGGACCGGCTGCTTGGGATTTGATCAGGGCTGGTTTGGGAGAGAGGCAGACGCCGTCTTTCCCCCAGAACAGACTACCCTTTGAGCTCTGCCGCCACCCGGACTGGGGATGGAAGAAAGAAAACAAAAATCCTCACTGTATGTGGTTCTCCGGAATTTAACTTGGCTCTGGAGAGGGGAAGTTGAAGAGCAACACTGCTCATCCACTCTCAACGCCCTCTGCAGGTGGTAAGCCCCGTGAACGCTGAGGCTTGTCAGGAGCGGGAAGGGGTTAGAATGAGGACAAGAAGAATTTCTGCCCCTCTTGGTGGTGGGGGAGGCTCCCACCTCCTTCCATGGTCAACACTAAGATGTTGAGGAGGGGAGTCTGATGTAAAGTCAGTTTACAAGAACCAGCCCTTTCATGAAGATGGCACCGAAGGCGAAGGAGGAAGCCCCTGCCCTTCCCAAAGCCAAAGCCAAAGCCAGGCCAAGACAGGGGTGCCAAAAAGCATCCACAGTCACAGAAAAAAGATCTGCACGTCACTTGCTTTTGATGGCCCAGGACACTGCGTCTCTGAAGTCAGCCCAAATATCCTCGAAAGAGCACCCCCAAGAGAAGCGAGCTTGACCACTATGCCATCATCAAGTTCTCCCTGACCCATCGACTGAGTCAGCCATGAAGAAAATAGAAGACAATAGCACATTTGTGTTCATTGTGGATGTCAAGGCCAACAAGCACCAGATCAAACAGGCTGGGAAGAAGCTCTATGACATTGTCATGGCCAAGGTCAACACCCTGATCAGGCCCGATAGAGAGAAGAAGGCGTATGTTTGATTTAACTGGCTCCTGACTATGATGCTTTGGATGTTGCCAACAAAACTGGGATCATCTAAACTGAGTCCAGCTGGCTAAATCTAAATATAAATTTTTCACCATAAAAAAAATAATAAAGTCAGTTTCCAAGAACCAGTTGAAATAGAACATTCTCATTGGGCTAAGCTATGAAGAGAGGAGATAAACGCAGGCTAGTGATTTGGGACAAGGACAGCGCAACTAGTCATGTGTTGAGGTTTTTTGTTTTGTTTTCCCGGCCCTTCATATATTCAACACATTCACAGTGTGTGTGTATGGTGGTAGTGGAGGGTGGTCAGGGTGGGTGTTGGGTATAAGGAGGCACTTTTGGAAAATGTGAAGTGCTGAGTCTTCCTAAACTTTTATATTCCCGAGAGCTTCTAAAAAATTCTTCTGCTTTGACAAAGATTCGCTCTTCAACCTGACATCTTACCCTCAAAAGTGGGCTGTCAGTGCAGGTCAGCGAGAGATATGCATGGAAAAACCTGCATTCCATCATCCCAGATCTTTTTAGGGGACATTTCATGCTCTGTTTTCCTTCAGATTATTAGAATGTGAACTTGGGGACTTTAAATCAGTCTCTATTTTTCTCATCTGGGTTCAGTCACTCTTTGCTATACATTTTCCCAACCCAGTGCTACCTTGGCTTACTACGTGGAAAATTTTGCTTTCAGCTACGTTTTCCCTTAAATTCCATACTGTTCTTGGGGTACCTGGCTGGCTCAATGGGTAGAGCATGCAACTCATGAGTTCAAGCTCCATGTTGGGTATAGAGATTCTTTTAAAAAATAAATAAAATTAAAAAATAATAAAAAAGTTTCTTTAAAAAATAATTCCACACTGCTCTCAAGGAAGATTACTCCTGCTTTTTGAGACCTCTAGGAAAGAAATCCCACAACATTCTCATCATTAGTTGTTGGCATGATGGAAAAGCATGAGATCACCTAGGGAGGATCATGTGGGTGACAGTCCTGGCAACACTGACATCGTTGGGGTAAGCAGAAGAGAGTCAAACAAGGAGTGAGCAAACCCAGCAGACAGAGGAGTCAGGACAGAGGTCTACAAAGTGGGGAGAACAGGTGAGGACAGGGTGGCACCCTGAGATGCCAGTGCTCAGGAGGTGAAGCTGGGAGACCAGGTGTGACACACAAGGAGAGGGGGCAGGATGAATTCAAGAGGGTTATGGTCAGGCTGAGTAGAGGCAAAATACAGAATCCCAAAGATGTTACAGAGGATTTGAGCAGAGAACATACAGAGAAAGAAGAGTTTTATAAGGTCATTTTTTGGGGGAAGGAACTCATTGCTTTGACACAAAACAAGAAAGAGAACATAGCTTTTGGCACACAGAGAACATAGCTATTTTCTGCAGAAGCTTATCAGGTGCTGGCCTGGTGTAGGGAGTGATATAAGAGCTGTAGGGCTGGAGTGGAGAATCACTCTAGTTTAAGTAAAAGAACTGCAGACAGACCAGTTCGATCTTTATTGATTATGGAGCTTGGGGCCAAATGAAATCTTATAGAAATCTGTATGACAATACTACAGTACTACATTACTCAGATTTTAGGTCCCTCTATTTAATATTTCATTATCCCTTTCTAAACGTCAAGGCGAAGAACAGTCAACAATAGCAGTATCAAGATTGTACGAATTTAAAATTAGCACTGATAGGGTTAATACTAAGATGCTTAGTGGGTAGGACAATTGTGAGCCAAAAGGGGGGGAAAGGTCACAAAACCAACACAAGGCCCATCAGAAACACTGTGGTCCTGTTTGGAGTTGGTTGGGATGCAAAAACTGTAGACTAGCCATGTCAAAATGGAGTGCTGTGGGAAACTGGACAAAAAGGATCACTCTGTATGATTTCTTATAACCACATGTGAATCTGCAATTATCTAAGATAGATTGACATAGGTATCAATAGATAGAGGTAAATGAGCTAACTTTTCAAGCATAGGATTTTATAATAAATATTTAACTAAAACAAATATATATTTAGCACACCAACTTGACTTGACTCTATTATCATAACCTAAATTCCAATATTTAACTGGGCCTATTTTTCCACTTCATATTCTGTGCCACTGGTTGGTCTGTTCATGTGTCAATACAACACATTTAATTAAAAAAAAAAAAAAAAGGCGTGGCTGGCTCAGTTTTCAAAAAGAAGCCACGCAGTCCAAGAAGCAAAGAGGAAGAGCTACCAAAAAGATCTGCAAACAAAAGCAGTAATCGCTGCCATTTGACAGGCCAACTCCCAGAAAGCTGCTATGGCAAGGGCAGTGGGTTTCTTAGTAACAACTTACTCCATACACTTATGTTCCACTTAAGATGTGAATATTATCATCTGGTAGTTCAGAAATAAATTATGTCATTTCCAAACTGAGAGCTACCCCATACATGGTAACATGGGTAGACTGTGATGCCACCTTAGAAAGCGGAGTAATCAAGTAAGTGCTTCAGAGGTCGGTTGTGTTCACACTTGCTTTTTGTAGGACTAACTAGAAACTAAGCTACCAGTCAGTCTAGGAGTGGACTACTTCACAGCTTAGACCCATAAAGCAATGTAGAGGCTTAAAACAAAACAAAACACAAAACAAACCTTTCGGAGGCTGGTTCAGTTGGTAGAACGTGTGACTTTTTTTTTTTTTAAGATTTTATTGATTTATTTAAGAGAGAGAGAGAGAGAGCAAAAGCAGGGGGAGAGGGAGAGGGAGAAGCAGACTTCCCACGGAGCAGGGAGCCCGATGCGGGGCTCAATCCCAGGACCCTGGGATCATGACCTGAGCCAAAGGCAGACGCTTAACAACAGAGCCACCCAGGCGCCCCCATCTATATCCTTTTTTAAGCAAACTGCTGTGCATCTGGGGCAAAATAACTGCATATGTCCCTGGACAGCCTCTGGAAAGTTAGGGGATCTTAGCTTAGTATATAGCATCATTCTGATTCACCCAGGACAAAGGAAAGAACTCAGGTTTTCACATTTGTGTTAAAGGAAAATGGTGATTGAACTGCCAGTAGGAGATGCTTTTTTTTTTTTTTTAAGCCTATGACAACAGATCACTTTTTTTTTCACGAATAAATCCGACCAAAAATTCCCAGAGGGATCAGTCTTGGGCTTTAGAGGGACATATATAATGGATGGTTCTTCCTTTTGTTCTAACACTTAAGGAACTGACTTTTTATTACAGTTGCTGTTTTGATGCTACGCATCAAACAAAAAGGTTATTAAATCATAAAATTTCAGAGTAAAACTTTAATACTTGTACAAAACTGCAGAGACCACGGAACAAGTAAGTAAACCAAGTCATTAACAAAGTTATAAATGTGGTTTTTAACAAGAAATTACAGGAAACTAGAATCTTTTCCCAACTGCATTTTTATTGAAAAATAGTTGATTTAAAATATATACATTGTTTTTTTTAAAAGCATGTTATTGGTAAAATAATGATCTTTCATATAAGGATCACTGAAGTTTCACTCACTCTTACCAAAGTGGCACCTTTATTTTCTTTTCCTAGATGAACATTTTGCTTAAAAATAGGGTCTCTTAAAAAAAAGAAAAGAAAAAGAAAAAGACAAGACTAGGGTCTCTAGTGCCCTCTGGTGAAACTTCCTGAGACTGGGTATCCAAAAAAGTAATTCAGCTCATGACGGAAGAAAGTTAAATAACAGAATTACTACCTGTTTACATGTGACAAATTGTGATTTGCTGCCTTGGGCAACCTCAGAGGATGCCTTGATCTCCGGCAGAGTTTCAACTACTGACAGTATTTTCTTCCGGAATTTTCATCATCACTGCCTTCTTAAAAAAACAAAAACTGGCATTATATTACAAATGGGAGAAATAATATGGGAAAGTCTCTAAGTAATTCAGGTAATTCAGTAATCCAGACCAAAAACACAAAAAAGGTTAACAGGATAGCAAAAATGATAGCTAAAGCTTGGCATGCAAGAAGGGCTCTTTTAGTGCTCTCTAATTCTTAGCCCTGTCTTCTTAATAACGGATATCATGATTCTAGCCAACTCTGTGTGTAGTTTCTGGGAGAAGAGGACCTTTTCCTCAGATTTCAGGAAGCAGACCTATTCCAGAGGGCCATGTCTAAACGTAAACATCAACAGAGTCTAAGCTCATTCTCCAGACCAAAGACTTTCGACTTAAGGTTCTTTAGTTCTCCTTGTAGCTTATGTGCCCGTCTATTGCTGTCACGCACCTCACAAAGAATGGCAAGATCCTGGTTTGCCCGGGCATTAAGTGTTGCCTAGAGATTTGAAAAAAAAAGAAGAAATGATTATGGCACATGCCAGGGAAAAGAAATCATAAGGACTAGGCTATGCTGGCTCCTTTTTGGGAGACTTCTAGCACATAAGAAAAATTCAATCCTTAGCTTGCTTAATGACTAAAAGAAAGAAAATGTAGAGTAGAATTAAAGCAGAAAAGGCATGAGACTCTGCTTTCCTCTACGATAGTAAAGAAGCCACAGGATAGAGATCAACAGACAATAATGAGTAAAAAAAAGAGATCAGTATAAACATTACTGATAAATTTGCCAAAGAATGAAAAAAAAAGCGTCTCTTCTATAACTAACCTTGTTTGGCACATAGCAATCATTTAGGATATGTGGATAACTGGTTAAATCTCTTTAAGAAGGATTCTGAGGCAACCTGAATTCTAAATAAAGCTGTGTTTGACAGGGAGAAATTACTTCATTACTTACTCACTCTCCCCATTGGTAAAACAGACACAGTTCTTTTCATTTACTTCTTGATCTGGGAAGGATGAAGCTTTCTGAGTTTAACTCAGATCAAAGTACGATGGTGCAGGCTAGCAATGATTTCAGTCTACTGTGTCCTCCCTCTGGTGTGTACTTAAGTTAATTTTAAAGAGACTTAAAGGATGGTAATCTGCTAGGATCTACCATCAGGGAAACAGCCCATCTTCCCTCTGAGGAGCCCTCACGACCATGTTTCCTTACCTGCACCCCTCCTCCCCCCTCGGTAATTCAGAGTCATCAATTACCTTATAGAGGATTTGCTCCAAGTCTTTCAGCTTCTGCCGGAGAATCTTAATATCCGTCTTAAAGCCTTCTACTTCCAAGATACGCCGATTCTCCAAAGCCTCATAGCGTCTTGTCATCACCTGTAAACGCTTCCCCATCTTGTTAGTACGATCCTAAATATAGGGACACGGCAAGGCATTTGTGAAGATGAGGGAAGCATTCTCAGAGCATCTGCACTTCCCACTCAGTCAGAAGTGGAAGAGAATTTTGTACCTTGAAGATCTCTCTCCTCACTCCCTCTTCCTCACGAATTCGGGCAAGTTCCTCTTCTAGGGAAATGCACTGCTCTTGATACATGCTGGATAATTTTTTCTCTTGTATTAACTTATCCTTTAGGGACTGCAGGTCAGAAGGAAAATAAAATTACAATTTTGGTAATTCAAGTAGCACTTAGGCAACGAAAGAAAGGAAAGAAATGATTTCCATTAAGTCTAAAACAAGTTAAGGAACAAGATGGCAAGGAACTTTGGAGAACATTTGAAAGCCTCCTGTTTCTAGATGATTCTCTTAACCTTTTTCTTAAGTGTCCATATTAGAAATTCTTTAAAATAAAGCAAATATTTTTGGCTCTGAGACGGGTAAGATAATGGAGCTCAGAACTGTACCAAGTAGGATGTGACAAAATATGTTTTGGGACACACTTCTAAAGCTCTTCTTTAAATAGAAACAACAAGAACACATAATATACATGTTCCATTGAGCAGTGGGAATGATCAGTAAAAACCTTAATCAGATCACATTTCTTCCTTACACACAATCCTTCAAAGACATACAATGTTTAGAGCTAAATATTCTTACCAGGAAAGTAAAGGCCCTGTAAGGCCCTCCATGACTGGCTGCTGCCCACTCTCCAACCTCTTTGCTTACCACTTCCTTCTTGTTTATTCCTCTATGACCACACTGATATTCCCCCTCTTCCCTGAACATACTTTAGACTTGCTCTTCCCTCTGCCTGGAATGCTCTTCCTCTAGGTCTTTATGGCAAGCTCAGTACCATTTTATAGGTCTCAGCAACAATATTAGACTTCACAGAGGGTCCCTGTGCTTCCCTACAAAAGCAGACTTTCAGCAACTATATATAATCTTCATTTAATCTTTTTAATTCCTTAATACCACTTTTTAATAAGCTATCATTTTGTTGTTTCTGTACCTTCTCACCCATTAAAGTTTTTATTTTTTATTTAAATAATCTCTACACCCCACGCGGGGCTTGAACTCATGACCCTGAGACCAAGAGGCACATGCTCTCACTTCTGAGCCAGCCAGGTGCCCCTCCCCAACCTTCTCACCCATTAAAATGTAAATGCCATGAAGGCAGACTTGGTCTAATTTATCTACTGCTATAGCCCCGGAGCCTAGCCCATAGTAGGAGTGCAATAAATATTTGCTGAATGAATAAATGAACCAATCAATAGTTTACTTTTCTAAATCCCCAAACACTATAATGATAAGCTACTCTTTGAAACCTATCTCTTGAGGGTGCTGCTACAACAGCTTCCTGGACTGAATGGATCTTGTATGACAATTCTTGGGTTCTTTGGAATTCTCTGAGTTCTTTCAACTTTTCTAGAGAAATTAACAATTTCTGTAAGACATAAGAAAACTACCTTAATATATTCATTTTGGTTATGATGAGTCTCATGAATGACTGGCCAAACTTTTCCAAGTTTATCTTCTTTCTTCTTACACTGCATGCTGTATTGCTTAATCTTTGACATCAAATGATCCTTTTCAAGCATCCATGACTTCTCCTTATTTTGGTTTTCAAATCTGAGTTGCAAAAAGTCTTTCGTGCTCTCATAGAGAAGTTCTTGGGTGTGATGGAGACTATGAAAGAAAGTACAAATGTGGACACCAAGATGCTTACTGGTACATATGATGCATAGTTACTCAAACAAAGGGAAGATACAGGTTCTTTAAAAATGGTGCAATATATAAATTCTATAAAATATCATTAGCAGTATTTAAAACACAATCTGATCACTGGCAAACTTACATGTTTTACTGGACAAAGTGTAATATACCTACCCATGTGCACTAGTTCACAGACTGGTCTTTTTTTTTTTTTTTTTTTAGATTTATTTATTGGGCACGTAGAGGGCTCAGTTGGTTAAGCCTCTGCCTTCGGCTCAGGTTATGATCCCAGGGTCCTGGGATCAAGTCCTGCATCGGGCTCCCTGGTCAGCAGAGAATCTGCTTCTCCCTCTACTGCTCCCCCCTGCTCATGATCTCTCTCAAATTAAAAAATTAAATATTTTTTAAAAAGAGACAGAACATGGGATGCCTGGGTGGCTCAGTTGGTTAAACATCTGCCTTCGGCTCAGGTCATGATCCTGGGGTCCTGGGATCGAGTCCCACATCTGGCTCCTTGCTCAGCAGGGCTCTCCCTCTGCCTGCTGCTTCCCCTGCTTGTGCTCTCTCTCTGTGACAAATAAATAAATAAAAATCTTTAAAAAAAAAAAAACGAGAGAGAACATGCGTGCATACAATTGAGCGTGAGGAGGGGCAAAGGGAGAGAAAGAATCTCCAGCAGACTCTCCACTGAGCATGGAGAACAATGCAGGCAGGACTTCATCTCATGACCCTGAGATCATGACCTGAGCTGAAATCAAGTTAACTTGCTTAAGTGTGCCACCCAGGTGCTGAACATAGACTGATCTTTATGGATATTTTCCCAATGCTAATTCCAGGTTATATAACTAAAAGATTTATAGAAATATCTATATATAGCCTGCATAAGTATGGACTATTCCCTGACTGAGGGTGAACACAAGTCCTAAAATGTCAAAAATAGTTTTGATTTTCTTTATGCTGTGCTCCACATGTAAACTGCCTGATATCAAACCTTGTCCTTTTCTCAAGATCAGTTTCCTCCATGGAGAGATCGTGATAACCTTAGCCCATTTAGTTTTTCCATTCTCTGAAATTATCAGTTTAAATCTCTACCCCTGTGTTGTAATTTGACACTTGCTCATACACTGTGTCATGTTTTATTTTTCTTTTTTTAAGATTTTATTTGAGAGAGTGAGTGAGCGAGAGAGGAAGCACGAGCGGGGCGGGGGGGGGAGGGGGAGACGGAGAGGGAGAAGCAGACCCCCAACTGAGCAGGAAGCCTGACTCCGGTCCCGATCCTAGGACCGCAGGACCACAACCCAAGCCGAAGGCAGATGCCTAACTGACTGAGCCACCCAGGTGCCCCTGTCATGTTTTAACTGTCAAAAGGCATAGTTTCATTTCTTTTTTTTTCAAGATTTTATTTTTAAGTAATCTCTACACCCTACTTGGGGCTTGAACTTACAACCCCAAGATCAAGAGTCACATACTCTACTGACTGAGCCAACCAGGCACCCCAACATGCATATTTTTTAACCTGAGTGAAAGCATATCCCTTATTTATCATTTACTTTTGCCCTGCTACCACCAGATTGTCAAGAATAGTACCAACTACTAAACACACAGAGTACTAAGATTCCTGCTGACTACTGACTATCATTTACTTTTGCCCTGCTACCACCAGATTGTCAAGAACAGTACCAACTACTAAACACACAGTACTAAACAGATTCCTGCTGACTACTGAGATTTAGGAATAGGCAAATGATGTTTCTATCTTCAAAAAAGGATATCCCTAAAAGTTAGCAACCCATCAGTTTAACATCAACACTTTCTAGAAAAATACTGTATCAAATGATCAAACTGCTTGCAAGGAGTATTAAATACCATGAGGCAATCACTGTAATTTTCCACTGACTAAATAATGTCAGAAAAACTTAGTTCTTTTCATGAGTAATAGGATACATAGATAAGGGGAACATGATAGCATAATGCAGGCACAAAGCAGGGTAACTGTCACCAAACGAATGTATATATACTCAGGTATATATGTATGTGTATAAAGAGATTGATTCAGTTACCACAAGATCTCTCTTGCTTTCAATGAGTTATTTTATTCTATTTTACATTATGTTCTCAATTACAAACTGGGCAAGTAATAGTCTTGTTAATGTATAAATGGTTTGAAAGTGAGACCCAAAGGACAGTCATTAAAGGCCTTGGATTTCATGCCATTCAATATCCTTAGGATGATCTAATGTAAGGGACTGATTATATGCTCAGATGTACAGATAATGCCACACCAGGATGGTTATTAATATTCTAGAAGACACATATAAAATTACAAATTACTCTGACCATTTAAAAACACTGTTTCCTTAAAAACAATTAAAATCCAATGGAAAGTGAATATGCTATGTGTAAGCACAAAATACCAAAAATAAAAATAAAGATGGCAACGTGCTGGCCACATGCAAACATATTACACTGCGTTAAAAGAAACAGAGCCTGCAAGAGCCAGAAGGCATTTTCTATCCTGTATGGGTTAGAGATCTTAATTTAAGAATCACATCCAATTTTAATCATCACACTTTTTTTTTTTTTTAAGTAGACTCCACACTGGGCCTGAAGCCCAACATGGGGCTTGAACTCATGACCTTGAGATCAAGACCTGAGCTGAGATCAAGAGTTGGACGCTTAACTGACTGAGCCACCCAGGTGCTCCAATCGCCATACCGCTAAGTGGAGGAAGAGGCACTAGAGAAGTTTAAGACGACAGTAAAAGAAGATAAAAGGATGTTAAAAATGCAACATGAAAAAAAATTTTAAACATAGAATGTTTAATGCAAAAAGAAGTAAGATGGAGCTTGATAAGGATCACCAAGTGTTGGACAAATGTTTGTGTGCCTGTTATGCATACATGGCAGGGCAGAGGCCACAGCAAGCCGCTGGGGAACAGACGTGACTCTAACAGGTGGCTCTAAGTGCCACCGGGGGCAGGCGAGTCATCATAGAATGTGGAGGAGGAAAAACTGAATTCTGCCTGGGGAAGTATTCAGAGAAGAGGTGAACATGCACAGCAAAGTGCCTGCCACACAGCAAGGATCCCACAAGCAACAGACATTAGTAGCCAGACTGAAGGACGGGGTAAAACACAGCAGTAGAGGAAGAGCTGAGACTGAAAAGGTTAATTTGGTGCGAGATGACGGAGATTCTAGTAATTCATGCTGAGGTAGCAGGACTTTATCAAAGTAAATGGGGAGCTATCGCATGTTTTTGAGCTGTTGGTAACTCCTAATAGAGGCGCTAACTCATAACAGTGAGGAAGACTGTGGAAGGCAGTGGGATCAGTAATAGGAAGAACAGTTAGATTACCACAGCAATGTAAACAAGAATAGAGTTGGGGGATGCCTGACTGGCTCAGGACGGGGAGCACACGACTCTCTGATCTCAGGGTTGCGAATTCAAGCCCCACGTTAGGGGTAGAGATTACTTAGAAAAATATAAATCTTAATAATAATAATAAAAAAAGAATAGCTTGAACCAATGTGAGAAGAATGAGAGGGAGAGAATGGACTGGAGAGCCTTCCCAGGCTCATATTCAATAGGGCTTCGGATCCAGGAATAAGAGAGTGCGGAGTTGAAGATAACTCTAAGGCTGGGAAGCCTGGGAAATGGGATGGATATCATTAAACTAAATGGGAAAAAGAATAAAGTAGTAGGTTTGACATGGGACAAGGGGGTGTTTCTTGGGAAAGAAAAACAGTCTGTTTCAGTCACGGTAAATTGGAGGTGTTCAAACATATTCAACTGAAGAGATCTGTACAGCACAGTCTAGCCACTGGAACCAGACAAAAAGCCGAGCCGGGTCAGACAGGTAGAAGAATCAAGACAGGTGTTCCAGAAATCAAAGGGAACTAATTTCAAAGAAAGGGTGGTTAGAGGTACCAAATATGCAGAACGATACTAGTTACAATGAGGACTGGAAAGAGATAACTGGCCATGGGAATTAAGAAGTCAGTGATGACCTGAGAAAGGACATGCTTAGTAAAACGATGCAGAGGAAACCAGACTGCAGAGGAAACCAGACTGCAGAAAGGTGAGGAAAGGCGGGCAGGTGAGGAAATAAAAGCAGTGAGGATGGAGAGGTGGTTTTTGCACAGGTACGTAGTCATTTTTCCCACATTCGTGAAAGACCAAACAAAAGAAAAGGTCCCTACCATACTGGGCTGAGTCGGATAACCTGTCAATGGATAAGAGAACATTTCTTAACCACTAAGATCAAGCTAAAACTCTAAAGTGGGTTAAACGGAGCATGTGGGATACTTGCCAATACTTCAAGAAAAGAATCAACAGCACTCCTAGAGAAGCCTGGACACCCACCTACATAGAGGCAGGGGTGTCTAACGAAGACAAATTTTTCAAGGTCTCTTTCAGTTCCACAGTCCTATGCTGCTAAAGGACAGGACTGTTAACTTTTACGCCACTCAGAAAAATTTACAAATCTGTCAGGTACAGCTTTCTTGAACACTCACTTTTTGGTAAGCTCTTTGATTTTGTCCTGATTTCTCTGGTGATGAACTTGTATTTCCTCAATGCGAATCCGTCTATCCTCCATGAGCCCTTCAACTTGCTCTCTAGAAAGCTTGGTCTGCTCTTCCAGCTGAGCCTGCAGTGATTCCACCTAGACAGGCCAAAAGGGGTGAGGTATCCACTCCTGTCTTGCTTCCACTTATTTCTTACCTCGAAAATTGAGTCTTTCTCCAGAAAACTTTAAAAAACAAAACAAAAAATCCACAAACAAAAGCACAGCAACAAAACAAATAGAAGAAAAATCTTAAGTGTACTCCTTTTTATGTAATGTCTTATAAATGGGGTTAGGCTACACAAGAGCAAGCTCTGTCCACACTAAACAAAGCATCTGCATCACACATAAAAAGCTAGAAAATCCAGTTTCCTCTACCCTAACAGTCTCAGCTTTTCACTATCTCCCCTTTGGGATTCTTAGGACTATCTCCCTTCTAAGACTCCCTGGTTGCATAGAAATAGAATGACTCTTTTCTTCATTTTTTAATTTAAAAAGTGGAGCAAAATCAGTATCATGTAATTTCCTTCTCTGGTTCTGGCTGTCATGACTCCAAATGGAGATACTGGCCACAGGTAGAAACTGTCATTTAAAGCAACAGACTCCTCTTGCACCCCTGTAAGGACAGGAACTTGAGTGCACCTAGAAAAAAAATCATGGTTGCAAATAATACACAATTACCAGGTGGTAAAAGGATGATTGAGGACTTTAGAACACATGCACTAAATAAATGGATATACCCCTACAGGTTAATCTATCAGAAGAGACAATTTTAACTCTGTGTGTCTCCCCTAGGCCAACCACAAAGGGAATTCTTACTGTATGACAGTTTTGTTGGGTAGGGCTAAGCATATAAGCTCAACGAACATAAGGTTCAGAATAGCACTTCTAGAATGGCTGAACAGAGAATAATGGTTTTAAAACATAAAGTCTTAGAAATTAGGAACAACCTAAATTTTCTTAATCACTTGATGCCTAGATATAATATGTGTGCAAGGCCATCAAAAAAAAAATGAAATCTTGCCATTTGCAACGATGTGGATGGAACTAGAGGGTATTATGCTAAGCAAAATAAGTCAATCAGAGAAAGACAATTATCATATGATCTCACTGATACGTGGAATTTTTTAAGAAACAAGGCAGAGGATCATAGGGGAAGAGAGGAAAAAATGAAACAAGATGAAATCAGAGAGGGAGACAAACCATAAGAGACCCTTAATCTTAGGAAACAAACTGAGGGCTGCTGGAGGGGAGGGGGGTGTGGATGGGGTAACTGCGTGATGGACATTGGGAAGGGTGTGTGTTGTAACGAGCACTGGGTATTATGTAAGACCGATGAATCACAGACCTGTACCCCTGAAACAAATAATATATGTTAATAAAAAAAAAAGAAATGAAAACATGTGTCCACACACACACACACACACACACACACAAAACAAAGAAAAAAAATATGTGTGCAAGGAGATACTTATATGATAACAAAGATATGTTACACAAAGCTAAACTTGTGGACAGAAACTGTTCTGGTCTGCTTTACCTGTAGGATAAGTGTTTGTATGTCTCTCTGGTATTGCTCAGAACTTTCTTCCTTCTCTCTCATTGCTGGTTTTCTTTTGTTTACTTTAGACTCTAAAATAGAAAACAAAAATTAATCAAGACCTTTACTTAGTTTTTCTTTTGGCTATTTGAGCATCAGCAGCCCTCTGCAGAGGAGGTTTCATTTACCTAGAAGTGAAGGAAAGGAAAAAAAAGGAAACCATACAATGACTATAGTAATACTTTTTCAAATGGGAATCTCTCTAAAGGAACTCTGCCAGGAGGTCTCCTGGATAATAATATTCATCTTTCTAAAGAATATACTAAATTTTCCTTTGGAGTTGTATCTATTTTCTTCATAAAATCTTATTTAATCAGAAAAGGTAAGGAATAAGGAAAAGTAAGTCTAAACATTTGGTTATGATGGATCACCCAATTTTAAAAAGACAAGATTATTTTAAAAATAAGCAACACTAAAATTACACTGAACAAAATTCCTAAGATGATTCAAGAAGCTTATGCCAAGAGAATAGATCTTAAAAGTTCTCATCATGGGGAAAAAAAAAAAAAGTTCTCATCATGGGGCGCCTGGGTGGCTCAGTCGTTGAGCGTCTGCCTTCGGCTCGGGTCATGATCCCAGGGTCCTGGGCTCGGGCTCCCTGCTCGGCGGGAGGCCTGCTTCTCCCTCTCCCACTCCCCCTGCTCGTGTTCCTGCTCTTGCTATCTCTGCCTCTGTCAAATAAATAAATAAATAAATCTTTAAAAAAAAAAAAAGTTCTCATCATAAGAAAAACAAATCTGTAACCATGCGTGGTGATGAATGTTATCTAGATTTAGTGTGATGATCATTTCATAATATATACAATTATTGAATCCTTACATTGTATACTTAAATGTAATGTTATATGTCAATTATATCTCAATTTTCTAAAAAAAGGCAAAGAAATAAAATTGGGATTTCCATTTAAAAAAGAGAGAGGAGACTGAGGCTTAAAAGCTAATTAACAGGGCGCCTGGGTGGCTCAGTTGGTTAAGCAACTGCCTTCGGCTCAGGTCATGATCCTGGAGTCCCGGGATCGAGTCCCACATCGGGCTTCCTGCTCGCGGGGAGTCTGCTTCTCCCTCTGACCCTCTGACCCTCTTCCCTCTCGTGCTTTCTATCTCTCATTCTCTCTCTCTCTCAAATGGATAAATAAAATCTTAAAAAAAAAAAAAGCTAATTAACATTCTGTGATCCCAGAAGTTATCCAAATCTGTTTTATGACTTATCATCTGTAAGCATGTTTATTATGTATTTTTTATTCTCCTTTATTAAAACACGGGAAGGTTAAAGGAAAAAAAGCTCAGTGAGTTCTTAAACCGGCAGAGGCATCATTATGAACATTTATTATTACTACATAGTGGAAACAAAATCTAATTATTTGCACGTTTTTGAATTCTGCATTGAGAATTTATAATATGGCTGGTACCTGCTCTGAAAGCTGAGGAAGATTCATTCTGTTCACATATACCTACAGCCTGGATAGTCTTTGAGTGAATGCTGACCTGAAGAAGCAAAAAAAACCAAAAAGTATAGAATTAGCTTTCCTATAAATGTCGTATTTCACTTTTTAGCTTTACTTCTGTAGATCAAAACACTATTCATAAATCCAATTGGTCAAAATTGCCATAATCATATAAGGATGTCATGCTTGGGAGACACCAAAGTGGACAAAGTAACAAAGTGGATAAAACTCAATGCTAGTGATATAAACTAAAAAATTGAATTTCGGAGTTATTTAATAATATCTGCTAAAAGAAAGGGGCAGGGGATCTTTGGCAAGGGCCTTTAGGAAAATAATGGGAACACAAAAGCATGCATATGTAGATACGTATAAAGATGCTCACTGAGGCAGCTTATAGAAGAGTAAAAATGGAGACACTATATATACACATAAATATTTCTGTATGAATGGAAAAAGAGCTTTATCTCTGGGATAAAAGAGACTGCCACTTTTATATGACAGATTTCTGAAATCTGTTTCTAATAAAGACCATCATTACTTTTGTCATCAGCATAAACTAAGATTAAAAAAGAAACCTGAGTATTGCAAACTTGCTCCCATACTAAGTCAGCTCCTGCTTTCCTCTCTAATCTCACCCAAAACATCCACTCCTCTGTGCTTTAAGGTTTCCAAACAGTGAAATGGGGTAAATGATGGTTTTTTTGGGAAAAAAAGAATAAGTAAAAGCACAAAGCTCTTTGTAAGTATAGAAAATGCTTTGAAGGCTTAGAGACCATGACAGCTAATTCTCTTCTATCTTCTTTAGCAAGTACCAAAATTGCTCTTATTCTGGACCCCAGCCTGCATTTTATAAAAAGTCATGCTTACCATGCTGTACCAAAGATTACTTACTTTGTTTGGAGGCTCCTTATAAAAATAGGTCACTTCTCCAGTGTCTGTGCCCACAAGAGCCAAGAGACTCTGAATCTTTTTCTTGTCTTCTAGCTCCCTGCAATTCTCATAGAGAGTAAGCACACATTGTGTTCAGAGGAAGTAAAATTTTCTATTTAAAGGATCTCCTTTCTGATTTATTTTTAAGACAATGGCAACATCAATTAAAATTGAATAAGATTTATTGAGACCTTAGCTCTAATTTTTAAAACATCAGATATTTATATTTAGGAATTCAGAGAGAAGGGACCAGAAAATAATTTCTTAGTTGGTCCTAGAAGAGAATTATAGTGGATGCTGGGGTACACTGCTCAGATTCTCCTCTTTAGCACTGATGGGTTCATTCTTCCAATTGCCAGCAATGTTGCAAACTGTGGCTCACAGCTGAATCTCTCTCCAGAATTGTCCTCAGTCAAGAGGGACTGCCTTAACTAACTGTATACCCAATGGACAGACTGCACCCAGTGCCTGGCTAATGAGAGGGCAGAAAAGTCCAATCCCCTTGCTTTAATTCAGGATATTTCTGAAGGGCCATCCCAGCTTCAGTGCACCCTGTGGCATTGGCTGAGGTCTTCTGAAATTAAATAGTTCAACTGCTGCCCAATCAGACTTTCCTTATTCCTTCATAGGTGGTTATTCCTGAGGGCACTCGCCAATAAATCTCCTGCAAGCAAATCTCCACTGCAGAGTCCGTTTTCTTGGGAACCCAACCTGAGACCGTTGATATCAGAAATGGACCAAGGAAGCAAACTCTAAAACGAGATTTCAGAGCCTGTGATATGGAGATGCTTAATAGAACATAGAGTTCTTGGGGCGCCTGGGTGGCTCAGCTGGTTGAGCATCTGATTCTTGATTTGGGCTCAGGTCATGATCTCGGGGTCATGGGATCCAGCCCTGCATTGGGCTCTGTGCTCAGCAGAGAGTCTGCTGGAGATTCTCTCTCTCCCGCTCCCTTTACCCCACCCCCCACTTGTGCTCGTTCTCTCTCTAAATAAATAAAATCTTTAAAAAAAACAACATAGTGTTCTTAGGAGCAAGACAGATGGGTGGTTAACAGGGTATAGCTTAAAAAATTAAAATAAATCAAAGATGGGTGCCTGGGTGGCTCAGCTGGTTAAGCATCCAACTATTTTTTTTTTAAAAGATTTTATTTATTTATTTGAGAGAGAGAGAATGAGAGATAGAGAGCACAAGAGGGAAGAGGGTCAGAGGGAGAAGCAGAGTCCCTGCTGAGCAGGGAGCCCGAAGTATCCAACTTTTAATCTCAGCTCAGGTCTTGATATAAGGGTCATGAGTTCAAGCTCCACATTGGGCTTCATACTAGATGTGGAGCTTAATTAAATAAATGAATAAATAAAATAAAATAAAATAAATCAAAGATGGAGGGAGGCTAAGGGCAGCACCCTATACAAAATCACAATCTCTGACCCATCTTCCACACCTCAGCCAGTTTTAAGACTATTACGTGACAAAGAAGCTGGGTCCCCAGGAGGTAAGACTGGGTAAGACAGCAAGTGTACAGGATAATGAGTCCCCTAGTCTTTCCCCAGAAGACCCATGGCCATTTATTTAAGTAATTATACACTGGAGGAAAGGAATTACCCAGGTAATTCAAGGACTGATGGATCCAGGGTCTGAATTGACATTGATACCTGCCATTATCATGGCACTGGAGTATATAGGAATCATGTAATCAACAGAATTTTGTTCCAGATCCAGCTCACAGTGGGTCCACTGGGTCCAGACCCAATCAATGGTCAGTTTCCCCATCTCCAAATGTATAACTGCAATGGACATATTTGGTAGTTGGCAAAACCTTCAACAAATTTCTTGGCTTTTGGGTTAAGGCAAGAGGAAGACTCTGAAACTGCCCCTCCCTACCCCTGCCAAGATGGTAAATAAAGACTTAAAGGATGTAGGGGTCAAGGTCACCATCAAATCCCCATTTAATTCACAGTATGACCTATGCAAAACCAGAAGGATAACAGTGGACTACTACCAAGTAGTTCCAATTTCAGTTACTGTGCTAGATGTAGTGTTTTTCCTAGAGCAGATTAACTTGGTTTTAGGTACATGGTATATGGATACTGATTAAGTAAATGTATTCCTTTCCATTCCTACACAGGAGCAGAAAAAGTTCTCATTTGTGTGGGGTGAACACAGTATACTTTTACAGTTTTTCCATAAAACCAGGTTAACTCTTCTGTGTGCTATCAAGTAAGTCTAAAGAGACCTGGATTTGGCCATACCACAGATCTCATCAGTTCACTACTAATGATATCAGATTAAATTAGACTGGATAGACAAGAAATGGCAGATGTGTTAGAACCCTTGGTAAGATACATGTGCTTCAGAGAGTTGGAGGTAAACCTTACAAAGCACATCAGTGAAGTTTTAGGGGTCTGATCTAGGCATGACAGGACATTCCCTTCAAAGTAAAGGACAAATTATTGTGCCTTACCCTTACCAGGAAGAAAAAAAGACTCTTCAGGTCTCTTCAGAGAACATATTCCATACTCTGGAATACTGCTCTGACCCAAATATCAAGTGACATGAAAGGTGAGCTTTCAGTGTGGCCCAGAGTTGAAAGGAAGTTCTGTATTAGGTCAAGGCTAAAACTATTAAGGAGATTGAGTTGGTAATCAAAAACCTCCTGACAAAGAAAAACTCTGGACCTGATGTCTTCACAAGTAAACTCAAACCAAGTATTTAAAGGACAAACACCAATAATTCTCAAACTTTTAAAAAACTGAAGATAAGGCAACACTTACTAACTCATTCTATGAGGCCAGCATTGCCCTGATACCAAAGCCAGACAGACATTACAAGGAAACTACTCTAGACCAATATCCCTCATGAACACTGATGTAAAATCCTCAACAAAATACAAGCAAACCAAATTCAGGAGCATATTAAAGAATTACACACCATGATTAAGTGGAATTTATTTCTGGAATCCAAGCATAGTTCAGCATATGAAAAATTGATCAATGTGATACACCACATTAACAGAATAAAGGAAAAAACCACAATCATCAATTGATAAAGAAAACTCATATAACAACATTCAAAACCCTTTTATGATAAAAACACTCAAAACAAACTAGGTAAAGAAGAAAACAATCTCTACCTATTAAGAGCCATGTATGGAAAACCCATAGCTAACATCATACTCAATGGTGAAAGACCAAAAGTTTTCCTCTGTGATCAAGAACAAGACAAGGATGCTCACTTTCACAACTTCCACTTAACCCAGTATTGGAAATTCTAGCCAGGGCAAGTAGGCAAGAAAAAAGGAAAAGACATCCAAAGTGGAAAGAGAGAAGTAAAATTATCTTTGTTCAAAGATGACATGATCTTATATGTAGAAAACCTAAGGGTTCCACAAAAAAAAAAAAAAAAAAAACCAAACCAAACAAACCAAGGAAATCCTATTAGAACTGATACAAGAGAATTCAGCAAAGTAGCAAAATACAAATTCTTCATGCAAAAATCAGTTGCATTTCTATACACTAATGGTGAACAATCTGAAAAGGAAATTAAGATAATAATTTGCTTTACAACAACATCAAAAAGAATAAAATACTTAGGAATTAACCAAAGAAGTGAAAGACTTGTATACTAAAAACACTGCTGAAAGAAATTAAAGAACACATAAATAAATGGATTGGAAGACTTGATATTATGATGTCAATATTACCCAAAGCAATCTACAGATTCAGGGCAACTCCCATCAAATCTCGATATTTTTTTTTTTAAAGATTTTATTTATTTATTCATAAGAGACAGAGAGAGAGAGAGAGAGGCAGAGGGAGAAGCAGGCTTCCTGCAGAGCAGGGAGCCCGATGTGGGACTCGATCCCAGGATGCTGGGATCATGACCTGAGCCGAAGGCAGACGCTTAACCATCTGAGCCACCCAGGCGCCCCGATGATATTTTTTGCAGAAATAGAAAAATCCATCCTAAAATTCATATGGAATCTCAGGGAACTCAAAATAGTTAAGACAATGTAGAAAAAGAACACAGTTGGAAGACCCACATGTCTTGATTTCAAAACTTACTACAAAGTTACAGTAATCAAAACAGTGTGGTACTGACAATAATGACAGACCTATAGACCAGTGGAATCGAATAGACAGCTCAGAAATAAGTCCCACATGTATGGTCAAGTGATTTTCAACTTTCAATGGAGAAAAGACAGTCTTTTCAACAAATGGTGCTGGGAAAACTGGATATCCAACACACAAAAGAATGAAGGTGGACCCTTACCTAACACAATATACAAAAGTTATCTTAAAATAGATCAAAGACCTACCTGTAAGAGCTAAAACTATAAAACACAGTGGGGGTGCCTCAGTGGCTCAGTCGGTTGAGCGTCCAACTCCTGATTTCGGCTCAGGTCATGATCTCAGGGTTGTGGGATGGAGCCCTGTGTTGGGCTCTCCACTGGGCGTGGAGCCTGCTTAAAATTCTCTCTCCCTCTCCCTCTTCCCCACGCCCACTCATGAGCACTCTCTCTTAAAAACAAACAAACAAAACAACTATAGTGATATTGGATTTGGCAATGATTTTTTGAATATGACACCAAAAGCAGATGCAACAAAGGGAAAAGTATACCAATTGGACCTTACGAAAATAAAAAAAAGTTTTTTTGCATCAAAAAGATTATTAACAGAGTAAAATGGCAACACTCAGAATGGGAGAAAATATTTACAAATCACTTATCTATTGGATTAAAGTGGATTAAATCCAGAATATATAAAGAACTCTTAAAAACTAAACAACAGTAAAAATCAAAGAACCAAATTCAAAAATGGGCAAAGGGCTTGAACAGACATTTCTCTAGAGAAGACACACAACTGGCCAATAAGCATGTGAGAAAAGGCTCAATATCACTCATTGTTAGGGCAGTGCAAATCAAAACAATGAGATACTATTTCACACCCGTTAGGATAGCTATTATTAAAAAAACCCAGAAAACAAATGTTGGTATGAATAAGAAACTGAAACTCTTGTGTACTTCTGATGGGAATGTAAAATGGTGCAGTCACTATCAAAAACAACATGGTAGTTCCTCAAAAATATAGAATTAGCATTTGATTCAGCATTCCACTTCTGGGTATATACATAAAAGAACTGAAAGCAGGGACTTGAATAGGTATTTGTACACCAAGGTTCATAGCAATATTATTCACAATAGCTAGAAGGTGGAAACAATTCAAATGTCCATCAGTGGATGAATGGATAAACAAAATGTGGTAAGTACATACAGTGGGATATTATTTGGCCTTAAAAAGGAATGAAATTTTGATACATGCTACAACATGGATGAACCTTGAAAACATTATGCTAAGTGAAATAAGCCAGACACAAAGGGACAAATACTGTATGATTCTACTTCTTTGAGGTCAAATATATACAGAAAGTAGAACAGTGGTTACTAAGGGCGGGGGGGGTTTGATGAGGAGTTATTGTTTAATGGGTACAGAGTTTCTATAAGGGACAGTGGAAAAGTTCTAGAGCTGGATAGTGGTATGGCTACATGATAACATAAATATACTTAATACCACCGCACCATACACTTGAAAATGACTAAAATGGTAAATTTTATGTTAAGTATATTTTACCACAATTAAAAAAAATTTAGTAGTGGCTGCTGTGGAACACTGCTCAGATGCCACCTTCAGGACCAAGCACCCATCACCCAAGAGCTGAGTCCTTCTCAGGAACTGCCCTAGGCCGAAGGAGGCTGCCTCTCTCAGGTTTACATCCCTTCCCTGGTGACAGCCGACACCCAGTGAGTATAAAAGGTCAACCCGTTTGCCTCTGAATGGCTATCTTGGCCTCAGAGCTCCCTGTGCGGTTGGCTGAAGCCTCTGCTACCACGGAATCACAGTTCAAATTCTCCCTCTGCCCAAATCTGCTCATAGATGTTATTCCTCAGAGTCCCCCTACTAACCATCCTCACATCCATCTCAGAGTCTGCTTCCTGGGGAACACAACCTAAGAGGACCATAGAAAAATGTATCTTGTTTAGTGTAATTTATTTTTTTTTTAAAGATTTTATTTATTTATTTTACAGAGAGAGACACAGCAAGAGAGGGAACACAAGCAGGGGGAGTGGGAGAGGGAGAAGCAGGCTTCCCGCGGGACTCGATCCCAGAACCCTGGGATCACGACCTGAGCCGAAGGCAGACGCTTAATGACTGAGCCACCCAGATGCCCCTTGTCTAGTGTAATTTAGAAATAGAACCCCAATATTTCCCTTCTCCCACTTGGTACCTGATTCTCAGTCGGTCGTTTTCTGAGTAGAGGCGTAAAACATGCTCCCGTTCCTGGAAGAGGCAGACCTGTATATCACTTAGAGCTTTCTGCAATTCAGCAACCTCTTCCTCCCTCTGCTGCAAATCCCATTCTAGTTTATGCTGGGGGGAGGAAAAAAAGGTAGTTGAAAAGATACTGCACTTTACAGGAGTATCTCTGATTGGATATGGTGGATCAGTTCATGCAGAAATATTACAAAGTGAATGGTTTCACCGACACGGAATTCAAATAACAACAGGTTGTGTATAGACTTGAGTTTAAAAGCTGAAGGATGAAACAAAAAAGCTACAGGGTGAGTGTGATGTTTGCCTGTAACATCAAAGCTCTCCTATCTTTCTTTTACAGATTACAGAACCCTATAATGCCATATGATTTACCTGTTCTAGTCACGCTTCTTTTTTTAATGCTTTCTATGTAATAAAGATTATATAATTTTGGAAAAACAAAGATAAAAAGGTATGATTCTTGCCTACAGAGTTGGAAGAATTTTGTGGGGGGAGAGACATGCAAACAATTAAAATAAAATACTTATTTCATGAAAGAGCGTGCATAGTAAAATGGTAGAAGGGAAAGTACAGCAGGAGTAAAACCTCTGCAGGTATTGGGAAGTCAGAGAACACAACCAAAGTTGGAACTTGAAAGATGAAAACTACTAGAGACAAGCAGAGGGCAGGTACTCTTGGGAAAGAGAAAGAAAGAACCATCAGAGCCTTAAGTGTCTGGGCAACCCCAAGTATTTCAGTGTTGCTGGAGTGGACAGTCAGAGGCAGAGTGGGGAAGTATGAGGCCACAGGCTGGATACTGGTAAGGAGGACACTGTAATAGTTCAGGGGAGACATAATGAAAGTTGGAACTAGTGTTGAGGAAACAGTGACTAAGTTGTTGGAATGCGTGAAGTGATATTTAGGAAGCAGAACGAAGAGGACTTACCAAGTGACGGAAGTAGGGGCTGGGGAGAATTGCAGGCAACGATACCATTTACTGGACGTGGAATAAAGAAAAAGTGAAAAGATAAGGAATGGGGAGGGAGGGGAAATGTTCGTGGTACAGATTATGTGTGGGTAGGTAGGAAAGAGGAGAGTAGTTCAGACATGGACAGGTTAATGTGGAACTCAGGAGAAAAGTGCGGTAGTTATTTGGTGTCATCATCTCAGATGTAGTAGTAGAAGACATGAATACGACGAGACCATATATGATGGAATCTAGAACTTTGATATTTAAGACTAAGGAAGGGGGGCTGTTGATGGAGACTGAGAAGAACTGGTCAGAAAGGTAAGAAAGAAACTGGGAAAGGGAAATGACACAGAAATCAAGAAAGGCCAAGTCTGCAGAAAAGAGAGATCAATAGTGACAAATACTGCAAAGGCCACGAAGAGATCATTTTGACTAGCAGGTTCCAGAGACCATAGGAGGTGCACTTTTAGTGGAGCAATGGGGACAGAGACCAAACTGTAGTCAAGAGGTCACTAAGTAGGTAACAAACTCAAACTATTCTACAGGTGTGGCTGAGAAAAGAGCCATCTACATAAAAGAGTAGTTAGAGGGAAGCACAAGTACAGAAGAAAGACTTGAGTAGGTTTATATACTGAGGACAAAAAGCCAACATCAGGCAAGAAGTTAAAAACAACACACAGAAAAGAGAGATGATGAAGCAGGGTTTCTGCGGAGGAGAAAGGAATGGGGGCTAGGGGGACTTTTGCATCAGTGCAGCTTGAACAGGCAGAGATAGCTTGTCCCTGAAGCAGTAAAAAGAAAGATGGATATAGACGTAGATGACCTGTGTGGATGGGCAGGAAGGGAGCGCATGTGTGATAGCCGGTGTCTCCTCCGCGAACTAGGAAACAAGCTGGCCTGAGAGAAGAGCACTAAGAAGGCTTGCAGGCTGGTGGAGGGGGAAGGTATGGCACAGATATGCACAGGCAAGAAAACTGCTATATAGTGACTAAGGATACTGATGTACACGTTTACCATGAATTTATTCTGTAATGATATGTAACCGTTCTAGGACAATGGTTCTCAACTGGGGGCGATTTTGCCTACGCCCCCAGGAGAAACTGGGCAATGTCCACAGGCATTTTTGATGGTCATGATTGGGGGTCGGGGGGATGGGGGAAGAGGTGTGCTACTGATATGTAGTGAATGGAGGCCAAGGATGCTACTAAACATCCTACAATGCACACAACAGTCTTTACGACAAACAAGTACCAATCCCCAAATGTCAATAATGCCTAGGTTGAGAAATCCTGCTCCAAGAGAAGAAGTGGTGGTGAACTGGATGAAATTATAGCGTTTGTGCTATGCAAGCAGGGCCAGAAGAATAAGCAAGGGTCCCATGCAGGCAGTACAGTTACCGAAGTGAAGCACAGTGGAGTTTGGGTTAGAAAGGAAGGATGTGAGGTCAGAAGCTGGCAGGCAACACTGAGAAAACTGAACTATCAAGGAGTTACAGAGCTAACAATGAAGTTAAATGAAGTCAGGTGTAAGGGGGTGAAAGAACTACAAGTATAAAAGAGACCTCTAAGGTTTTAGAGGTCTAGCAGTTGGCAGAGATTATAATCTAGTGAGGGACCCAAAGGGCGGATAGGTAGCTAGGCTGTGGTAGAAAGGTAGAATTCTTTTAAAAAAAGAATTTTTAAAATAAAATATCTGCTTATAATATGAGCTGGCACTTCTCTCAGGAATGAATAGACTCAACTGGAGTCCTAAAAGGGTATAACACATCATCCCTTTCACCTGTGCATCACAAGCTGCTTTGTAGAGTTCCAGTTTCTTCAACAGGTCTTCATTTTCTTCCTCACACTCAGCCATCTTCTTTTGGTAATATTCCAGAAGCTCCTGAGAAGGGCAGAAGACAGCCAGACGATCTTCCGTGGAAGGCAAGGGAGTTGACTCCATCGAATCCAAGAAAGACATTCCCTTCCACTTGGTGGGACCACTGAAGTCACAGGGGACATCATGTTTGGAGACAGTTGTTGGCCTGTAAGAAATCAGAAAGGACATATTCATTAAACTGTTTGAACATTTACGAGACATTATAATTTCTTTTTTTTTTTTCAAAGATTTTATTTATTTGACAGAGAGAGACACAGTGAGAGAGGGAACACAAGCAGGGGGAGTGGGAGAGGGAGAAGCAGGCTGCCCCCTGAGCAGGTAGCCCAATGCAGGGCTCAATCCCAGGACCCTGGGATCACGACCTGAGCCAAAGGCAGATGCTTAACAACTAAGCCACCCAGGCGCCCCGAGACATTATAATTTCTTAAATAAAAAAGGAGTTTATGTTCTTGAAGTGCTATAATTAAGGTGCTCATAAACCTTCAAAGTTTGATGTTCCGGGTTAGTGACGAATTTTATGAACTGGTTTCCAAGTATTAAAGGCTTAAAGCTAGATTCAAAATGTATGTTAAAAAAGTAAAAAGATCATTAAAAAATGAAATATTACCCAAGTAAGACCAGGTAATAACAGAAAATTTAATACTATTAAGATACATAGCGAAAGAACACTATACACTGCTGGTGGAGTCTAACTTGACACTACAGAGAGTAATTTGGCGGAATCTAGTAAAACTGCTATTCCTCTTGTCCTAGAGAAACTCATGCATATGTGTACAAGGTGACACATATGAAAATGTTCATAGCAACATTATTGTAATAACAAAAATGGTAAACCTTCCAGACATCCACTCAGTAGGGTAATGGATAAATTGTGGTATATTTATATAAACAGAACATTACTCAAAGTCATTAGAAACTATGGATTAGAGATATCCAAATATGAATGAATCATCCAAGCAACATTAAATGGGAAAATGTATATAGATGCATATGTAGAAGATATTACCATTCATTTAAGAATGGAACTTGCCAAATGAAACTGTTTTTAGGAACAGGTACATATAAGTGGCAAAATTATTAAGAAAGGGAATGACAAATATAAGATTCAGGATTAGAAAATATAGCCTTAGTTAGTAACAACACAATCACATCAGCATCAGTGACATTTGAATTACACAGACCAAGGCTAGACAAGATCAAAGGCTAATGAAAGGCTGGGCAAGAAGTTCTCTTTGCTTCTAGCAAACAAGAGCGTTCGTCTAAAACAATGCAAGTCAGAAAACAAATGGTGTGGAAGCGGAGAAACCCTATGAAAATTAATCCACTTTGGCTTACTCCCTGCAATTTACAACATAACAAAATAGACAGTGTGGAGAAACTTTATACTGGATGCCCAGAGTTGTAGTTAACAAAGGAGATGGTCAGCACTTTTAATAAGTAGGCATGTATAGAAGAGATGTTAACATTTACTCTCAGCTAGCATGAAGGAAAAACCCCTAGCGTTTTCTCAATCACTAAAAGCTCGTGACAGAAATGTTCTTTTACTTAATGTTTCATGTCTTCAAAGGGAGTTGCATTATAACTACTCTGGGAAATAGATCAGTAGGTGAACGAAGAGGTACTGCTGAGATTTTGCAGTTGAGAGTCGTGGCAATGAGGATGACGATGTCTCATGCGGGAAGTTGATGGCAGAACCAGAATTAAAAGTCCCCTGTTTGCATGCTGGTTGATTGTTTCCTCTGTAATCCAGGATCCACGGGCACTATACCAGGCCCATTCAAACTGCCTGGATTCGGGTATTAACACTTAATATGTCCTAGTTTTAAATCCAAATTGCACATAATAAGAACAGAGAAATAAGGCCTAATATAGTTCAAATCCAGAGTTTGGAAACACACTTCTAAACCCTTTCTAGTTCCTAAGCTAACTTGCACTTACGGCTACAGAAGTCTTGATTCTTTAACAACCTGAAAATAAGCAAATGTCTTACTTTCTGCAGACGGGGGTACGCACTGGGGTAAAGCTCATGGTGTCCTTTTCACACCTGTCAAATACACAAAAATTCAGAATGAAGGGTCAGAAAGAGACAAAAAACAAAAAACAAAACAGTACAGGATACACAGACATGTTCCCTTTCCACCATCACCAGATGTACCTACTGGTGAGAATGTGATGCTCTAAAATGTAGGATTCTTTATAGTAGTCCCAAATCCTGAAAATCAATGACTTTTGAATTTTCATAAGGCATTCATCATTACTATTTTTAAATAAAATCAGAATGGCATCTAATGTTTGGATAGATAAGCACACACAAAAGAAAAGCCTCCTTAACAACAATGTAAAACGAATTTACAATCCTTTTGCTGAAAGAGGAGGGAGATGCAGAAAAGTTTCTAACAAGTAAGGGATGGTAAATGGAAATTAAGGTAGAGGGACAATTACACTACATTTAAAATAAATACAAAGCCACTGACATCTGGTGAGCTTTATCTATTGTTTCATCTTAGAGAAAGAAAAAATTACAAGCTTTCTAAGGTCCATTTACAATCTCCATTCCAATTGCTAACATGGAGCTTGGGTTCCTCTATTTGAATAATCTCATCACAGAGATTTTTATGAAGATAACCTCACAAAGCAGGGAGGGAAGAGGAGAAGAAAAGGGAGAGAGGGAGGAGCGGAGGAGGAGGGAAGGGAGAGTTTATTTTATTAGCTTTAGGGAAAGCTGGCTTATCAAGCATGCTTTGTCAACCCATTCTGATTTTGAGCACAATGATGCAATATTCTGTTCCTGTACTCTTTTAATTGGTATGTATCTGCTTATAATCTTCAGTCCTTTGGAGAAGAATTTTGTGAACAAAAGTGAAAAGAGATAATCACTTTTGTTAATTCTATATACCATTTTCCCACTCGGAACCCCAGAATGCCCCTGCTCCTCCTCCCTGAAACCTTTTCTTCATTTGACTTCTAGGACACCAGAGGTTCCTGGTTTTCTTTCTTCCTCACTGGTCATTAATTTTCAGTCTCTGCTAGTTCTTCTCCCTCTTTATCTATACTTATTGCCTCGATGACTGCATGAAGTGTCAGTTTTAAGGGCGATTGGGTGGCTCAGCCAGTTAAGCGTCTGCCTTCGGCTCAGGTCATGATCCCGGGGTCCTGGGATCGAGTCCCACCTCGGGCTCCCTGCTCAGTGGGAGCCTGCTTCTCCCTCTCCCTCTACCCTGTCACCGCCCCCCAACTCAGGCACTCTCTCTCAAACGAATAAATAAAAAATCTTAAAAAAAAAAAGTGTCATTCTTAAATACTACATTCTTATATACACACTGATAGTTTTCAAATTCCTCCCTCCAGGGCTGACTCTGCCCTCCACTCCACTCATACCTATCTCACTGCCCTATTCCCTATCTCCACTTGGATGTCTTACAGGTCTCTCAAGCTTCACAAGTCCAAAACCAAGTTCCTGATAAACACCTACCACCACTAGTGCTTCGGCGGGGGTGGGGGTGGGGCAGAAATAAAACAAAACAAAACAAAAACACATACCACCAAAACCTGCTCTTCTCTCAAAATTCCACATTCCAGGGGCGCCTGGGTGGCTCAATTGGTTAAACGGCTGCCTTCAGCTCAGGCCATGATCACAGGGTCCTGGGATCGAGCCCCGCGTTGGGCTCCCTGCTCAGCAGGGACCCTGCTTCTCCCTCTGCCTCTGCCTGCCTCTCTGCCTACTTGTTCTCTCTCTCTATCTCTCTGTCAAATAAATAAATAGAATCTTTAGGGGCGCCTGGGTGGCTCAGTTGGTTGAACGGCTGCCTTCGGCTCAGGTCATGATCCCAGCCAGGGTGCTGTGATCGCGCCCCACGTCCGGCTCCCTGCTCGGCGGAGAGCCTGCTTCTCCCTCTCCCTCTGCCTGCCACTCTGCCTGCTTGTGCTGTCTCTCTATCTGTCGAATAAATAAAATCTTTAAAAAATAAATAAATAAATAGACTCTTTAAAAAAAAAAAAGAGTTCTACATTCCAGTAATTACTACCTCGATTGTGCCAGTTGCTTATGACCAAAAAACTTGGTTGGAGCAATTTTACTCCTCTTAGAATAGTCTTACATGCTATACTCAATCCATGAGCACATCCTATTAGCTCTACCATCAAAATATCAAGAATCTGACAATTGCTCAGGCCAATACTGCCCTGGTCCAACCCACTAGTCTCTTGCCTGGATGACTACAAGAGCCTCTTTAACTGGTCTCTTTGCTTCCACTCTCAAATCCAGTCCCTGCAGTCTATTCTCAACACAGCAGTTAGAGTGATTATTTAAAATGTAAGTCAAGGGACGCCTGGGTGGCTCAGTCGTTAAGCGTCTGCCTTCGGCTCAAGTCATGATCCCGGGGTCCTGGAATTGAGTCCCACACCACGCTTCCTGCTTGGTGGGGAGTCTACTTCTCCTTCTCCCTCTGCTGCTCCCCCTGCTTGTGCTCTCTCTCTCTGATAAATAAAATCTTAAAAAAAAAAAACCCCACCATGAGATACCAGTACACACTCTCTAGTGTAACTAATATTAAAAAGAAATAAAAAGAGAGATAATATCAAGTGCCAACAAGGATGTAGAGCAAATAGAACACACACTAGTGCAAGTATAAAATGTTACACCTATTGTGATGGTTAATTAAACAAAAATAAAATGTAAGTCAAAACACAAAACTCCTCTGTTCAAAAGCCTCCTAAGACTTAGTTTTAGTCAGAGAGCCAAGGTCTTTAAATGGCTTCCAAGGTCCTGCGTGATCCGCCTACCCCAGGACTTCTGTGACCCCACCTCCAACTCTCCCCCTGCTCACTGCACCAACAACATTGGTCTCTGCTATTCTTCAAACACGCCAGACAAACTTTTACTTCAGACTTCAAACTTCTACTTCATTTATGATGTTCTTCTCCCATTTATCTATATATGGCTTGCTCCTTCTCCTTGAGGGTTCTAATGTCACCTTCTTGGTGAAGTCTTCCCTGATCATCTGGCATTCCCTTACCCACCTTCTCTGCTTTACTTTATCACTGTCTGACATAGCTAGAAAATCAGTTTCTGCTTCTGTCTTCCATTAGCTTTCTTCTGCCAACCAACCCTTCGAGTGCACCATCTCTTTTTCTCAGTCTCTCCTTTAAAATGACTACTCTCTTCCTTTAAACTCACCTCCTTCCACAAAACTTCTTCAAATTGCGTGAATTTGTCTCTTGTAAAAAACAACCTAGAAAATAAAAATGGTAATTGGGTTGTTATGGTAGGATTATGAGTGACATTTTTAACAGCTTTATTGAGATATAATTATATAATTCACATTCCATACAACTCAAAGTGTACAATTCAATGATTTTAGTATATTCAGATATGTGCAACCCTCACAATTACAGAACATTTTCATCACTTCAAGAAATCCTATATCCTTGGGTGCCTGGGTGGCTCAGTTGGTTAAGTGACTGCCTTTGGCTCAGGTCATGATCCTGGGATCCCAGGATCGAGTCCCGCATCGGGCTCCCCGCTCAGCGGGGAGTCTGCTTCTCCCTCTGACCCGCCCCCCTCTCATGCTCTCTCTCTCAAATAAATAAAAATCTTTAAAAAAAAAATAAATCCTGTATCATTTAGCCATCACCCCTGTGCTCCACCTACCCCCAAGCCCTAAGCAACTACCAATATACTTTCTATTTCTATAGATCTATTTTGGACTTCCATATGAATGAGATCATATAGTATGTGGTCTTTTGTGATCGGCTATGATGGATTTCTTTCACTTAGCATGATGTTTTCAAGGTTCATCCATGTTGTAGCATGTGTTAGTTCTTCATTCCTTTATATGGCCAAGTAATATTCCATTTTGTGAATACAGGTGACATCTTAAAGATGAAGGTCATTGTTCTAAAACTAAGAATAACTTGAACTTTTTTTTAAAATAATCTTTTGAGTCATTTTGTTTGTTTTTTAAGTAATCTCTATGCCCAATGTGGGGCTCAAACTCAAGACCCCAAGATCAAGAGTTGCATACTCAGGCCCCTGGGTGGATCAGTTGGTTGGGCAACCAACTCTTGGTTTTGGCTCAGGTCATGATTTCAGAGTCCTGGGATTGAGCCCTTAGAGTCAGGCTCCATGCTCAGTGGGGAGTCTGCTCAAGGATTCTCTCTCTCTCCTTCTCCCTCTTCCACTGCTCATGCCTGCTCTCCTCTCTAATAAATAAATAAATCTTAAAAAAAAAAAAAAGAGTTGCATGCTCTGTCAACTGAGCCAGCCAGGCGCCACAGAATAACCTGGAACTTTAAAAGAGCCTTCTAACAACCTGTAACCTCTCTTCCTCATAATTAGTGACTGTTCTCACTCCTTCACTTTCCTGTGACTACTGCACATCAACAAAAAAGGTGTCTACATTCACATCTCACTTAGTTTCATAATCTCTCAGAATCTGACTTCTACAACATCTGGAAGGGAGCTATGCTGCCTATGCCAACACCTACTACAACATCTGAATTGAAGTTACTTTTCTTGGTCAGCAGACATCCAAATGAATAAATTCAGCTGCTTTCTTGGTTTCCCATCCTCCATCCAGCAAGTCACTCCTTGATTTGTATCCTTAATTTGACAGTGTTGATGATCACCTTTTTAAAAAATAATGTAGTTCAGAGCTTGGGCCCTGAAATCAAACAGACTTGGGTTTCAGTCAAAGCTCTATCCCTATTAGCTGGTGTGACAAGGCAGGTTATTTCATCTCTCTACAATCCAGTTACTTATTAAAAGATGGGGAGAATATATTATAGGTTGGTATAAGGATTAAATGAAATAATGAATAAAAGGGCTGAGCACAGTGTCTGACACATAAGTGCTCAATAAATGGCGATTATTATTTTTAATAATAATTTCCCTCTTTGTTCAAAAGGTTCTGTCTTCAACTGTCTTTTCTACTTCCTCCATCCATTTCTGTGGGAACATCATTATTCCCACTGCTTTTATGATTACTTCTATTATCTAAAACACTACCTGGCACAGAGTATTGTGTGAATGAACTTATTGAATGAACAAATGCCATCTTTCAATATCCTAGCTTGAATTTCCAATTACATAATGGACATTTTCACCTATATGTCCCATTGGAGCTTGAAATGTCTAACTCAAAAAAAGTCTAACTTAAAGGGTGCCTGGGTGGCTCAGTTGGTTAAGCGACTGCCTTTGGCTAGGGTCATGATCCTGGAGTCCTGGGATCGAGTCCCACACCGGGCTCCCTGCTCAGCAGGGAGTCTGCTTCTCCCTCTGACCCTCCCCCCTCTCATGCTCTCTCTCTCTCATTCTCTCTCTCAAATAAATAAAATCTTTAAAAAAAAAAGTCTAACTTAAAAAAATCACTCAAGTCACAACTTTTTTAGCATTTCAAAGCTAATTCAGCATCTTCCAAGCAACCTGGACTTTAAAATCTAAATTCATCATTTCATTACTCCTTCTCTTGACCTTCGTCCAACCATATGAAAATCCTGTACATTCTATCTGGGCAATGACCATGTTAATTCAAGATTTCCATATCTTCTTACCCACTCTACTACAAGGGCTTAACTGTTCTACCTACCCCTTGCCTCCTTTGGACCATATTCTTAAAAACCATAAAATTCATCAGTAGCTCCTCACAGCCTAATGAATTGAATCAAACTCAGTCTAGACATCATGGCTAAGAATCAAACCTACCTCTCCTAATTTCCCTCTACTCCCCTAAACGTACCCCCGGTTGCCGATAACCTTCTTGCCTCCATGCCCTTGTTGGTGAGCTTCCCTCCAGCTGGAACATAACTCCCTCCACTGTCATAATTTCACTTAGTGGAATCCACTCAGTACCTGAAAACTCCATACTATCTCCTTCTTCTCTTTCCAGAGTCTCTCCAACCAAACTGATCAAAATGCTCTAACTGCAAAAGAACCCCATTTGTAATTCTCTAAAAGTTAACATAATAGACTTCTTTGTTACTATCATTTCTCTCATGATGGGTATGTTCCTTGCAGAAAAGAAAATGGGTTTTACTCATTATTGTATCTCCCAAAAGAACAATGTCTTTGTTTATAGATAAGTTAATGGGTTTCAGGTAGCTTCTATTCCTCTGTCTCCTGTGGTATCTTCCTTTAGGGTTGTTGTTGTTTTTTAATATAGCCTTATCCCTCCTTACAATTAAATCTTTTTTTTAAAAAAAAGATTTTATTTATTTATTCGACAGAGAGAGAGCAGGCACAAGCAGGGGGAGCAGCAGGCAGAGGGAAAGGGAGAAGCAGGCTCCCCGAGAGCAGGGAGCACGGTGCGGGGCTCAATCCCAGGACCCCAGGATCATGACCTAAGCCGAAGGCAGACGCTTAACGACTGAGCCACCCAGGCGCCCCACAATTAAATCCTGATTAGCATTTTGACATTTACTTTAATTACCCCCACAATAACTGTCAAGTATTTTTATTATTCCTTAATTCTACAAATGAGGAAATTGAGGGCTTAGACTATCTTGGGATGAGGGAATATTGGAACGCATTTCCATGACCTCCAAATTCTATACTCCTTTTTACATTTCATCCCGTTGTCGACTCCTTCATTGCTATGGCTCCCCAATCCTCCAACACCCCCGAAACCTTTCACATTGCACGTTCTAACTTCCCTCTTCCGGTCCCCGCACTTACTTCTCCCTCACCAGGTTTTTTTTAGCCCAAGGCCCCATTCCCTAATCCCAGTATCCTAAACCCAAAACTCTGTACTCACGCCACACTAAGCCTCCGAATCAGAGACCCCAACCGAAAAACAAAACTTAAATCCGGTAGCGTCGCGGCGCCACTGAGCGTGCACGAATCCGTCCAATCGCCCACGAGTTTACACCGCCCTTTGGATTGCGCACCAATAGGAAGGCTATTCACATAGAGACACGCCCCCCCATTCCCCGCCCCTCCTCGCTACGCGTCTAACCGCGCAGAGATCGCCGGGAAGTGTAGTCTTACTTGTGTACATAGCTTCCCCGGGTGGAGCATGTAAACCAATTGAAACTCAGCCCATCCCAGTACTGGCAGTGTAATGTTTGGGGTCAGAACGCACTAGTTCTGGGCACACCCAGTTTAAGTTTGCTCAACTAGTTTGTTTTCACGAAAAATTACGCAGGAACGCGATGCATAATTATGGAATGGATCACGGGATTATTGTGTGTTGCAATTTACAAGCTTATATCAAGATGAAGATTCTAAGAAGATAGTTTCTCCTTCAATGACCTGGTGGCCTAGAGCCAAGATAGGACCTGTGGTTCAATTTCTACAGTCAGAGGATTATGTATATAAATGCTACTATTTTTTTAAGATTTTTTTAATTTTTATTTATTTGACAGAGAGAGACACAGCGAGAGAGGGAACACAAGCAGGGGGAGTCGGGGAGGGAGAAGCAGGCTTCCCAAGGAGCAGAGAGCCCGATGTGGGGCTCGATCCCAGGACTCTGGGATCATGACCTGAGCCAAGGCAGACGCTTAGCTGACTGTGCCACCCAGGCGCCCCGCTACTATTTTTGTCAGATAGCAGACACTACTTCCTTTTCCTGAAATTTGTGAAAAACTGACTTTAATCATATTAAGCTAGTTCAAAACTCAATTGTAGTCTCATCTGTCCAGAAGAGCAAGGTATAGGGGTAGGGGAAAGGCACTTCAGTCTCAGAGCTGCAGCTACTGCTATGGAAAAGCTGGAACTTCTTGCCGGTGTCCCTTGACAGCTCCTAAATTTACTTTTTTCTATCTTGTGATTTTTCTCTGTTAGTTACATCAAGATCTTCCCAAACATTAAAAAAAAAAAAAAAAAGATCTTCCCAGACATATGAACTCAGTATTTTTGTCTCTCTTTCTGTCCTTACATTTAAAGAACCAAAAAAAACACAAAATCATGGTGATCTTATCTTCATACTGGCTGTCAAATATTATATATTCTATAAGATATTCTTCCTATTTATTTCTACTCTCTGTCTCATTACCTTTCACTTGGGCTACTACAATAGGTTTCTAACTGGTGTTTTTTTCCTTCTCCAATCCATTCTGTAAAAGGTGATTATTTTTTTTAAAGCACACTTCTGGACATGTCACACTCTTGCTCATAAACTTTTGGTGACTCCGGAAGAGTAGAGAGTAAGTGCAGATAGTAATATGGCACTCAAATACTGAAACAATCTGACCCCTACTTATCCCTATTATATAATAATTAACTG